ACTGAAGAAATCAAAGAGGAAATCAAAAAATACCTAGAAACAAATGACAATGAAAACATGATGACGCAAAACATATGGGATGCAGCAAAAGCAGTTTTAAGAGGGAAGTTTACAGCAATACAATCCTACCTCAAGAAACAAGAAACACCTCAAGTAAACAACCTAACCTTACACCTAAACCAATTAGAGAAAGAAGAGCATAAAACCCCAAAGTTAGCAGAAGGAAAGAAATCATAAAGATCAGACCAGAAATAAATGAAAAAAGAAATAACAGAAACAACAGCAAAGATCAATAAAACTAAAAGTTGGTTCTTTGAAAAAATAAACAAAATTCATAAACCATTAGCCAGACTCATCAGGAAAAAAAAGAAAACTCAAATCAACAGAATTAGAAATGAAAAAGAAGTAACAACTGACAACTCAGAAATATAAAGGATCATGACAGACTATACTACAAGCAACTATATGCCAAAAAAATGGACAACCTGGAAGAAATGGACAAATTCTTAGAAAAGTAAAACCTCCCAAGACTGAACCAGGAAGAAAAAGAAAATATAAACACACCAATCACAAGCACTGAAATTGAAACTGTAATTAAATATCTTCCAACAAACAAAAGCCCAGGACCAGATGGCTTCACAGGCAAATTCTACCAAGCATTTAGAGAAGAGCTAACACCTATCCTTCTCAAACTCTTCCAAAATATAGCAGAGGGAGGAACACTCCCAAACTCATTCCACGAGGCCACCATCACCTTGATACCAAAACCAGACAAAGATGTCACAAAAAAAGAAAACTAGAGGCCAATATCTATGATGAACATAGATGCAAAAATCCTCCACAAAATACTAGCAAACAGAATCCAACAGCACATTAAAAGGATCATACACCATGATCAACTGGGGTTTATCCCAGGAATGCAAGGATTCTTCAATATACACAAATCAATCAATGTGATACACAGTATTAACAAACTGAAGGGTAAAAACCATATGATAATCTCAATAGATGTAGAAAAAGCTTTCAACAAAATTCAACACACATTTATGATTAAAAACTCTACAGAAAGTGGGCACAGAGGGAACCTACATGACATAATAAAAGCCATATATGACAAACCCACAGCAAACATCATTCTCAATGCTGAAAAACTGAAACCATTTCCCCTGAGATCAGGAACAAGACAAGGGTGCCCACTCTCACCACTATTATTCAACATAGTGTTGGAAGTTTTAGCCACAGCAATCAGAGAAGAAAAAGAAATAAAAGGAATCCAAGTTAGAAAAGAAGAAATAAAACCGTCACTGTTTGCAGATGACATGATACTATACATAGAGAATCCTAAAGATGCCACCAGAAAACTACTAGAGCTAATCAATGAATTTGGTAAAGTAGCAGGATACAAAATTAATGCACATCATTCTCAATGCTGAAAAACTGAAACCATTTCCCCTGAGATCAGGAACAAGACAAGGGTGCCCACTCTCACCACTATTATTCAACATAGTGTTGGAAGTTTTAGCCACAGCAATCAGAGAAGAAAAAGAAATAAAAGGAATCCAAGTTAGAGATTCAATGCAATCCCTATCACTGTTTGCAGATGACATGATACTATACATAGAAAATCCTAAAGATGACACCAGAAAACTACCAGAGCTAATCAATGAATTTGGTAAAGTAGCAGGATACAAAATTAATGTGCAAAATTAAGGCTCCCAGACTTCAAACTATACTACAAAGCTACAGTAATCAAGACAGTATGGTACTGGCACAAAAACAGAAAGATAGATCAATGGAACAGGATAGAAAGCCCAGAGATAAACCCATGCAACTCTGGCCACATTATCTTTGACAAAGGAGGCAAGAATATACAATGGAGAAAAGACAGCCTCTTCAATAGGTGGTGCCAGGAAAACTGGACAGCTACATGTAAAAGAATGAAATTAGAACACTCCCTAACACCATACACAAAAATAAACTCAAAATGAAAAAAAAAAAAATGGATTAGAGACCTAAATGTAAGACCAGACACTATAAAACTCTTAGAAGAAAACACAGGAAGAACACTCTTTGACATAAATCAGAGCAAGATCTTTTTTGATCCACCTCCTAGAGTAATGGAAATAAAAACAAAAATAAACAAATGGGACCTAATGAAACTTCAAAGCTTTTGCACAGCAAAGGAAACCATAAACAAGACCAAAAGACAACGCTCAGAATGGGAGAAAATATTTGCAAATGAAGCGGCTGACAAAGGATTAATCTCCAAAATCCACAAGCAGCTCATGCAGCTCAATTTCAAAAAAATAAACAACCCAATCCGAAAATGGACAGAAGACCTAAACAGACATTTCTCCAAAGAAGACTTACACATTGCCAACAAACACATGAAAAGATGCTCAACATCACTAATCATTAGAGAAATGCAAGTCAAAACCACAATGAGGTATCACCTCACACTGGTCAGAATGGTCATCATCAAAAAATCTACAAACAGGGCTTCCCTGGTGGCGCAGTGCTTGAGAGTCCGCCTGCCGATGCAGGAGACGCGGGTTCGTGCCCCGTTTCGGGAAGATCCCACATGCTGCGGAGCGGCTGGGCCCGTGAGCCATGGCCGCTGAGCCTGCGCGTCCGGAGCCTGTGCTCCGCAAATGGGAGAGGCCACAACAGTGAGAGGCCCGCATAACGCAAGGAAAAAAAAAAAAAAAAAAAAATCTACAAACAATAAATGCTGGAGAAGGTGTGGCAAAAAGAGAACCCTCCTGCACTGTTGGTGAGAATGTAAATTGATACAGCCACTATGGAGAACAGCATGGAGTTTCCTTAAACTAAAAATAGAACTACTATATGACCCAGAAATCCCACTACTGGGCATATGCCCTGAGAAAACCATAATTCAAAAAGATACATGTACCACAATGTTCACTGCAGCACTATTTACAACAGCCAGGACATGGAAGCAACCTAAATGTCTATTGACAGATGAATGGATAAAGAAGATGTGGCACATATATACAATGGAATATTACTCAACCATTAAAGGGAACAAAATTGGGTCATTTGTAGAGACGTGGATCGACCCAGAGACTGTCATAAGAGTGAAGTAAGTCAGAAAAACAAATACTGTATAATAACGCATATATATGGAATCTATGAAAATGGTACTGATGAACCTAGTGGCAGGGCAGGAATAAAGATGCAGATGTATAGGACAGACTTGAGGACACAGTGGGGGAAGGGGAAGCTGGGACTAAGTGAGAGAGTAGCATTGACATATATACACTACCAAATGTAAAATGGATGGCTAGTGGGAAGCTGCTGCATAGCACAGGGAGATCAGCTCGATGCTTTGTGACAACCTAGAGGAGTGGGATAGGGAGGATGGGAGGGAGGCTCAAGAGGAAGGGGATATGGGGATATATGTATATATATATAGCTGGTTCACTTTGTTGTACAGCAGAAACTAACACAACATTGTAAAGCAATTATACTCCAATAAAGATGCAAAAAATAAATAAAAATAAATATAGTATAAAAAATAAAAAAGAAATAAGAAAAATAAAAAGAGGGAAAGGGACGTATTCTTCAAAAATGTCCATGTTGATGGGACTTCCCTGGTGGCACAGTGGTTAAGAATCTGCCTGCCAATGCAGGAGACACAGGTTTGATCTGTGGTCTGGGAAGACCCCACATGCTGCAGAGCAACTAAGCCCATGCACCCCAACTACTAAGTCTGCACTCTAGAGCCCACAAGCCACAACTACCGAAGCCCGCACATCTAGAGCCCGTGCTCCGCAACTAGAGAAGCCACTGCAATGAGAATCCCGCACACCACAACAAAGAGTAGTCCCTGCTCACCCCAACTAGATAAAGCCCGCATGCAGCAACAAAGACCCAATGCAGCCAAAAATAATAAATAAATAAATTTATTTATTTAAAAAAAATGTCCATGTTTTAAAAGAGAGAGAAAGACTGTGGAAATCTTTCCAAATTAAAGAAACCTAAAGACATATGGCAGCTAAATGCAATATCTGACCCTAATGTAAATCCCAAATTGGATGGGGGGAAACGATGGTATTGGGTTAACTGACAAAATTAAGAGACGAATAGTAGGTTAGATTAAAAGTATTGTATGAAAGCTAAGTTTACTGAGGTTGATACAAATAATGTGGTTAAATAAGAGATATTTGTATCCCTATTTTTAGGAAATATAGATTTCCTAAGGAAGTAGATAGGGATAAAACACCATGATGTATGTAACTTACTCTTAAATTGTTTAGAAAAACAATCACGTGTGTGCGCATGTGTGCCGGGGGGAGGGAGGGAGAGAAAGACTGAGAGAGAGAGAGATTGAGAAAGTGGGTGCAAAGCAAATGGGGTAAAATGTTATTAATAAGGGATTCTGAGTAAAGAGCATGCAGGTATTCTCTGTACTAGGTTTTTTTTTCTTTTTTTTTAAGTCTTCTGTAAGTTTGAAATTACCTCTAAATAAAAAGATTAAAATATTGCTATGTCTACTGCTAACAAAAAAATTAAAATATAGACATAAATATATAAACGCATGCAGACACACGTGTGTGTATATATGTGCATGTGTGTTTATATATTTTAAAGATGTATCTCTTAAAGATTCTGATAGCTCAGTAACTAAATGGCCTTTTTAATAATCAAAATGATTGAGAAGTTAAGGTATTTATCCTATATGTAAATAAGGGAGAGACGGAAAAAGCCCAAATAGGGAAGAAGCAGTTATTACTGATAAAACAAAGCCATTTCATGTTTATTTCCCCCATCAATTGACATTTTAAATGACCCAGTTATATATAACTTATTTAAGTGGGGAAAGCATTAGGTTTCTCATTCTCATTTTTAAATGGAGAAACTGAAGCATGGTGAAAAGCCACAGTAAGTAATACAGCTGAGATTCAACAGTATGTCTCTTGAAACACAGTAACAATGTCAATACAAGTTTTGGTAGCACTTAGGAGCAATCTGCTTACCTTTCAATAGCTAATTCTTTGTTAGAAAGTTGCTGCACTGTAATCACAACCTTCTTCTCTATTCCTTGTTTTAATTTGAAATAAAATTTATCTCTATCCTTAGGCACAGGACTGAAATATGCAAAAAGAACAGGAATTAACAATAATTAAAAACAATAAAAAAGATCTCTCTTTCAAGGTTTGAATAAGCCAACAAACTATTTAAGCAACAACACCCTTATTCTTAAGATATCCTAACTCTCATCTTGCCACAGAGTAACTACAAACTTTACAGTCAGCAAAAGAGTTGTTATTAATTTTTAAACTGGGTTTACAAGAGCCTTATAATTCATCCCTAACAAGATTAAAAACAAAACTTTTTAAATGACATCATTTCAAACTTTAGTTTTTAAATTTTAACAAATTTAGGAACATGGTTTATTTAATTACTTTTAAGACTGTCACATTTCTGGTTTAGCTGGTTGCATGAATGCCTTACACAGTGAAACCCAAGGCAAAAACTGAGAAGAAGAGCTTACTTTTAAATATCTAGAATTTGAGATGACTGTGACAAATCCAAGTAAATATAAATAAAAGATGAACAAAGAGGTACAGATCAGGGCAAGTTAAATTCTAGCCTAGGCCAGACTGACAATTCTCAAGAATTAGTTCATTAAAACTATAAGTGTCTAAAAGAAACAAAACAAAAATAGTTTAGTGTCTAAAATATAGGTTGCCTTATCTGAAAAGGAAAAATACCTTTAGCAACTTATTTGACCTAAGACTCAATTTCTGTATCTGTAAAAAACAGGTAAAATACCTACCTAACAATTATGGTTAGAAGCAAAGGCAAAGTAAAGGCCCATAACTGATCATTAAGGAGTTAATGATCAGTTAACTATTATCTGCCTATTTTTGAACTAAAGAAGAACATTCCAAATACAAAGCAGAAGGAAATGGTTAATTAAATGATGGTCAAACCATACAATATACTACCGGTAACCATTAAAAACGATTTTAAGAATATTTTAATTGAAAAATTCTTATATCATGAAGTGAAAAAACTATATATATATACAACTGTATAAAAATACATCCTAGAAATCAAATATTAAAAGTGATTGTGGCTGACAAAACCATAGCTTTTAATTCTAATTTTATTATTTTACTAAATTTTCTACAGTAAATATCAGTATTTTAAAATACTAAGAAAATAATTTACATAAAATATCTGAAAAGCATGACAAAAGTGAACCATGCATTCACCAGTGAAATATTTCTTTATCATCCTAAAGCTTTATACCAAAATTGCATATTCTGGAAACTTTAAATTAGCCAATATTATATTTCAGACACAATACCAATTTTTAATCTTTCCAAACAACCTCACCTAAAGTTTCCTTTTCCATCATCTTCTTTTACCTCCAAGGAGACACTGAAGGTAAATACATCACTGTCAGGGGTAGGAATAACTGAGTCTTTAACATCAGATACTTGTCTAGAAGACCGTTTGAAAGCTGTACAGAAACTATACAAAATTCTGCTTACCTAAAAGAATAAAAATGGAAACAATATTAGACAAAGATTTAACTGCATTTTGATAAACTTCTTTCCTAATTCTTGAATCTATAATTTCACATGGTCACAATGTTCTTTAGCAGATAAAGTAGATATAGTCTAAGCATACACACACACACACACACACACACACAGTTTGTAATATACAGTGTGTACATATACATAGTATAAGCATATATACACACACACACAGCTGACCCCTAAGCAACATGGGTTTGAACTGCACGGTTCCCCTTATATGCAGATTTTTTTCAACAGTAAATACTACAGTAGTATACAAGCCACGGTTGGTTGAAGTGGCAGATGTGGAACAGTGGATAAGGAGGAACCGCCCCATATGGAGGGCCAACTATAAATTATACATGAATTTTTGACTGGGCAGAGGGTCAGAGCCCCTACCACATGCCACCCCCCAGCCCCAGCACACTGTTCAAGGGTTGACTGTAGTTTGCTTCTTTCAATCTGGCATTTAAACACCAAAATAAAGACGTTTAATTTAAAGTCACAAAAGAAGCTGTATGTATGTATAGATGTTTCTATGACCCCTAAGATACTATATTGCAATGAATGAATCCTAAGATAATTACTAGAATGATACTGGCATCTAAACCTTCCCAATGAACACACACAAACAAGGTTTTAGCCCAAGGTGTCAATTTCTCTTTTCACTTCTCTCAGCTTCAGAGGGCTAGATCCTGAGGCATAGAATAAATACTGTTTTTTGCAAAAAGAAAACATGGTAGCACGATTTAAAGAGCTTCCAGTGTTGTTACTCAATGTTGTTGTTGTATAAATGTGTAGTAGAATGAATGAATCCTGAAATGTTCTTATCTAATTTATTAGTATTAAGCCACCCTGGTGACTTAATATACACACACATACATAAATCTATGTATGTGTGTGTATATATATGGATGGCTTTTACTCCTCCCCTGAAGTGGAGGAGTACTCTACATCCCACACTCTTCCAGATGGTATTGTCTTCCTTGGTTCCAAAAGAAGCATCATACCATCTCAAACTTGTCCGCTTCAAACACAAAAAAACTTCCAAATCTCTCAGGCCCCTCAGGGGTTGAACAAATAAAAACAAGATGAAATAAGAAGGGTTTGAACAAAGGTCATATTTTCAAAATCTCACACTGGGAGGTACTAGTAAAGAAACTTCTCTGAATATTAAATCCTTCACTTTAGATAAAGTGAATTCAAATTATTCTTTGTATTAATCTAGGATTTAATATTTTATAATTTGCTTGAGATAACAGCACTCTCATTAATAGTAGAATTTCTTCAAGTATTGGGGTCTTTCCTCAGTATTCTATTATTATATTCATACATTCTACCTTTTCTCACACATACATACTCTAACACATTCAATGGTCCTCAAACTTCCAAAGGCCACACTTACATCTAGTAATCAATGATTACCCTAAACTGCCTTTTCAGTGCCAAATCAATAGTTTTCTAAATTAATTGACTTACACAGGTTAACTGTATAAGAGTGCTACCTGCCAGCCTAAAGTTCAACTTCAATCAACAGCATCATATTTGTATCACAGCATTCGTAAAATTTTTTAATATGTTAAAGTTATCTCATTATAATTTTATATAAACAAGTAACAACAAAGCAGCAAAGGATTCATATTAATAATAACTGTAGACCTCAAATCTTATACAATTAAGACAATGATAAGTTCACTCATTCATTCAACCAATACTTTTTGAGCACCTTCTGTGTACTAAGTATTATTCTAGGAGACAGGGATACAGCTGTGTACATGGAGCTTTCATTTCAGCACATGTAAGTTGAATGTGCTTGGGGTGAATGGGAGAAATCAGTAGGTAAGGCAAAAACAGATATGTTCAGCCTCAACTGGACCCTTACTGGACTTAGCTCAATAATTTAAATGCTATAGAGGAAAACAGAATCAAAGAACATGCTAGAAATAAGTCACTGAAGATTATGCCTACAAGGTAAAGTGTAAACAGGGACTTCAAACTATTTTCAGTACTTTGATTACTCCCTACTTCCTAACTCCAAATAAAATGTGACGTCTCTTATTTACATTTTTTTTTTTTTTTTTTGCGGTACGCGGGCCTCTCACTGTTGTGGCCTCTCCCGTTGCGGAGCACAGGCTCCGGACGCGCAGGCGCAGCGGCCATGGCTCACGGGCCCAGCCGCTCAGCGGCATGTGGGATCTTCCCCGATCTTATTTACATTTTATGTGTATTTAAGAAAACATTTTTAAGCATATTTTTAAGAAAATATTATATGTGAAAACAGAATAACTGTACTTAGTTTTTGATACATTAGTAAAGTTAAACCCCAACCTTATTTATTTTTTCTTCTCTCCTATATTCTTCTATTTCATTTTCTTTGTATCAGAGCTGTCCACAAGCCTACACATCATGCCACACCAAAAAAAAAAAAGTCAAAGAACTTGGCGAATTCTAAAGTAGATGGGCAAGGCTCAGGAATTTCTTTTTAAAAAGGCTAAGCATATGGGGCTGAGCCAGAGTGGTAGAGAATGATGGGGGGGAAATCAGCCTACACTTTTCTCTCTTCTTGGAGGAAGGACACAACAGTACCTTAACAGCAATCAAACTGCATTTAATCCTAACCATGTCTTAGAATTTGCTATTTCCAACAACAAGGTTAAAATCATTTGTGACTTCTAGAGTCTGTGAATAAGCTGGAATGATGATCCAAGAATTGGTAAGGTAGAGTAGATTCAAAAACGATGATTATCAATGTCTATAGTTATTGGAACAAATTGGGTAACCAATTTCATCATGAAAAAATTTAAAACATAATACCATGGAAAACATTTCTATACACGTCACACTATTAAATACACACACAAACACACATGCACACACAATAATCTAGAACAGGCATTTTCTTTGCAGAAGTCAAAAGGTTTATTGACAAATAATACAGTACCATTTTTCCCCAGAGGCAGTACCTACCTACAGAAAGCATTAGTTAAACACAAAACTATCTCTTGGAGTTGTTGTTTTTGAAGAGGTGGGCAGGAGGACACATGTAGATATGTGGAAAGGAGATAAACCAAAATCTTAATTCTGATGGAAATCTGAGTAACTTTTATTTTCTTTTGTATTTCAGTATTTTCCAAATTCCCAATTATGTGTTACACATTAACAGTCCAAGAAATGCTATTAAATGAAATATTTACTTAAAATAAGTAATACAGGGGGACTTCCCTGGTGGTCCAGTGGTTAAGAATCCGCCTTCCAATGCAGGGGGGCACAGGTTTGACCCCTGGTCAGGGAACTAAGATCCCACATGCAGAGGGGCAACTAAGCCTGTGCACTCTAGAGCCTGCACCACAACTAGATAGCCTGCATGCCGCAACTACTGAGCCCGCGTGTCGCAACTAGAGAGAAGCCCACGCGCCACAACAAACAGCCCGCACACCACAACAAAAGATCCCACGTGCCGCCTGTTGGTGGGAATGTAAATTGATACAGCCACTGTGGAGAACAGTATGGAGGTTCCTTACAAAACTACAAATAGAACTACCATATGACCCAGCAATCCCACTACTGGGCATATACCCTGAGAAAACCATAATTCAAAAATAGTCATGTACCAAAATGTGCATTGCAGCTCTATTTACAATAGCCCAGAGATAGAAACAACCTAAGTGCCCATCATCAGATGAATGGATAAAGAAGACGTGGCACATATATACAATGGAATATTACTCAGCCATAAAAAGAAATGAAATTGAGCTATTTGTAATGAAGTGGATAGACCTAGAGTCTGTCATACAGAGTGAAGTAAGTCAGAAAGAGAAAGACAAATACCGTATGCTAACACATATATATGGAATTTAAGAAAAAAAATGTCACAAAGAACCTAGGGGTAAGACAGGAATAAAGACACAGACCTACTAGAGAATGGACTTGAGGATATGGGGAGGGGGAAGGGTAAGCTGTGACAAAGCAAGAGAGTGGCATGGACATATATACACTACCAAACATAAGGTAGATAGCTAGTGGGAAGCAGCCACATAGCACAGGGAGATCAGCTCGGTGCTTTGTGATCACCTGGAGAGGTGGGATAGGGAGGGTGGGAGGGAGGGAGACGCAAGAGGGAAGAGATATGGGGACATATGTATATGTATAACTGATTCACTTTGTTATAAAGCAGAAACTAACACACCATTGTAAAGCAATTATACTCCAATAAAGATGTAAAAAAATAAATAAATAAAAAATAATGTATCTGGGAAGTGACCCCCACAAAAAAAAAAAAAAAGATCCCATGTGCCGCAACTAAGACCCGACCCAGCCAAATAAATAAATAAAATATTAAAAAATACATAATTTAAAAATAAAATAACATAGAAAATTCTTCTCAGATAAAGCCTTTTCACTAATATTGGTGAAAAAGGAGCAACTCTTTTAAAAACATTTATCAAGAAAATGTTCACCCAAAAAAGTAAATGTAGAAAAGTTATCCTATAAAAGATACCCAGAAAAATATGTGTTAAAAATTTTAAAACAACTTGCTCAAATATATTACTAATTGAAAGGAGCTAAAACAAGAGGCAATCATACAAGAATTTTTTAGTTACAAAAATCAATTTATTTGAGAAAAACAATATAACTTCCAAATTAATTTCCAAAATAAGGCATTTTGCTAAAATACCATCTCAATAAACACATGTTTAGCAATAATATTTTCTCATACAAGGAATTAGGTTTTCTTTTATATAGTAGTGTACCAGCAACCCTAAGAAAAACCAATGCATTAAGAGTAAAGATGTTCCTAATGATACCCTTGGTATTATGAAATACCTCTGAATGCCTGTAACACCAGCTGATAAAAACCTGCTTCTGAGAATTGCTAGTAATGGTAAGTATGTCATAACATACAAACAAACAGCAAAATCTGTTTTGAAGAAAATGGTTACACTGAGTAGTAGAAATAAATTCTTAAAGAGAGTCAACTAATTATCTTTAAAAACAGTTTTGTGTAATATATTCATAAAGATGCAACAATAGGTGCCTCTCTGGCTTTTTGCACTGTGCTTTCTGATACTCTGCTCTGTCTGTAATTCTTCAGCAGAACTCTGGCACATCATTCTCCCTGTACAAAGATCATCAGCATCAAGATACTTCTGGCTGGATTCCCCAACTCTTTTGCCATAGATAATTGAGATCCACTCCAGCAGAGTCCCACAGAAGAACAGCCAGGGCAATAAGTCAAATGTGTCCTAACCCTTCTGTGGGAACCCCTAATCCTTGTGTCACAGGTCCAACAAAGCCATCACCCTCACTGGGCTTCCCCTCTACCACTGTTGGTGTCTGCTGCTTGTGGGATATCATGGTGAAATAAGAGCACATCACAGTGATAACTGGTAGTGGCAGCCATGCTGCTACTCCCTCTTGAGAAGATGTCTTCTTGCCTTTAACTGACAAACTCCTTCAAATCTCATCCAGGGACTCTGCAAACAATGGAAAACAAATTAGTGCCACTGCTGCATGGTACATATTTAAGCAATAAGAATGTCAGTCATCTGTTCCTGAACTATCTTTGCCAATTGTCTGTGTCCATTAAGAGGGACCCAAATACTAAGGACTAATGTTGTCCCTTCACCACATAACAAGAAACTTCCAGGAACCAGATAACTAGACAACCAGTAAATGCAACAAAAAGACAAGTAATTATTTTTTGAGGGGAGAGAGGAAGATGTCAGACATTCTATAAAAGGCATGAGTAAAACACAAAGGTTGCTGGAATACAAGGTATATGACCGAGAAATCCTTTTATAAAGCATAATTGAAAGGTAAAAATCTATATTTACTTTTTATAATAAAGCAACAGGAAAGCTGTGACTGAAAATTAAATGGGTCTTCAGAGTCATAAACTTCCTTAGGAAACCAGCTTCATCATCTGTTCTCTCAGCCTTTGGATAAGGAAATGGTAACCATAAAATTTGTCAGCCAAACCAGAGCACTTCTGAGAATAAAATGAAGTGCTTTAATAATATACTTGGACAACAGGCATAAACTAGGACTGCTCCAGGCAAAGAGGAGCATAAGGTCACTAGTCTAAATAAATACCATCTATGTTATGGAAATGTCATAAGTATCAAGTAAATGCTTAGCACAGTGCCAGTCATAAGCCCTATATTTATACCGGGTTGTTATAGAAATGATCTCTCATAATAAAGTTCAATGAAAACTGTCATTTATTTCTCCTTCAAACAATGAATTTTACCACCAATGTCCCAGAATGTAACACTTTGAAAAATTTACTCAAAAAAATTAAATAATAAATGGATATCACTTTATCTCAACCTACAATGTACCAAATATCCTCTCCAGAAATACAATTAATCCTATTTAATACTATATCCAAAATGGTCTGGCCTAGAATTCCCCCCCCCCAGTTTTATCCACTGCTTACCCACTGTTAAAGCTCTCAAAAATGACAAATATCCCCCCCAATAAACAGGTAGATGCTATAATCCAAAAAGAGAGTTTCATACCATCACAGTTATGGAAAATGCTTGCAACCAGGTGCCTTTCAAATTCCTTCTACAGCAGTGTTTCTGCCTCTCCAAGCAGCAGGTTCTCCAATTCTTCAAAGTTCTCTTTCTTACTGTTGAGCACCAGTTATCCAGAATCCACACAGGTATCTTAAATGATGGTTGCCAACATGAAATGCCAGGACTCTACTATCTGCTTCCCCACCTCTGTAGTGGAGTTGTAAGGATCAGAAATAGACCCCCCAATTTACAAACACACACACACATTCTTTCAACATATTTATATCCACTGCCTCCTATGTGCCACGCATACTTGTACTCATTCACTCTACCTATCACACACTTGGCCAAGTAGTCAGTATAGGTATATGTATAGGTATTATGTATGTGTGTGTAGGTATATGTACATACACACATTGGGATGAAATAGATTCAGAACTATATAAAAAACAAACAAAAGGAAACAAATTTGAACTTCTTACACAGGCATGGTTCTGACAGAGAACTTCTATGTCTGTACATGTTCATTTTAGTGTAAAAAAATTAATCACCAGGGCATAATAACAACTGACATACCGCTCACGCTTAGTATCAGACACACAGAAATCTACATTTCTATGAGTTCCCATGTTGTGGCCAGAAATAAACTCTCAGAACTCCTGTTAATACAATGGTTTATTTATGTTTCATAGTAAAGAGAAAATAGAACAACTGCTACTTTCAGCATTTTCTGCTGACAATTTATATTTCCAAAAGCAAACACACCTGGGACCTTGCCCATCCAAATCCATTTAATAATGCCTTTGAAATGGTTGTATAAGTACTAAAGTTCTAAAAGTGCAAATTATTTTTAATTTGGGGAGAAATCAATAGATACAGAAAAGAAGGCAATTTCTCCATGTATGTAACAGCCATTTGATTCTAAGAATAAACTACCACTTAATAATTGGTAAGAGGAACTCACTGGCATCTTCAAAGGACTACAAGTTGACAACCCTGCTGTATGGGAGCATTTGTATTTATAATTAATACCAGTTCTATAGAGCAAAAGCCAGCCTCTGAATGAATGCACATAATAAATGATCACCAGTGAAAATCACAGACATCTATGAAACAATCTTACTGCAGTATCTAAGTGAAAAGCCCAGCAGAGAAACAGGTATTGTTACAGACATTTTTTAAAGTCACACAGACCAACCAACTTAGGCAAAACATTAAAAGAGGGGCAAAAATATTCTTCCTTTCTAAGTCTGAGCAATTACTACCATGGTGGGGTGGGAGGAAAGCTTATCAAGGGGGATTTTTCTGTTACATATGTTTAACTGAGAGAACCACTTTAGTGCACAGAGTTATCAGATTTAGCTTTCCATATGCAGCTCTATGCCATTATAAATATTAACTTTCTCTTCAGAAAGATACTCCAAATTTATGTAATATGGTATATGGTCATACATACTAAATTATATGACAGTGAAATTAGAGTTTGAAAATATTACCCTAATTCATCTCAATAGCGAATTGCTACAACATATTATACTTACTGCCTCTTTAATTTCACAGGAGAAAACATGTATCTGAAATTCTTCTGAACCATGGGAACTCTCTGTAAATGCAAAGCAATTGCTCTCTACTGTCCCATCATGTCCACGTGCACAGAATAACACCTTATAAATTGGAAAAGATGCTATCTCCATGTTGTTGGATTGGTCTATGATTCTGCAGAACAGTGATGAAAAATGAGATAAAATATCAAAGAACAAAGGCAAACACTTTTACTATGCCAATAACATACAAAATAATTATCTTAAAATCACAAAAATAAACTGGTACTAATAAAGCAAGAAAACAATTATCTTCATATTTTTGCTATACACACACACAAACACACAAATTCTTCAACTTCTTTTGACAATTACTTCATTTTTGTGTCCTATGATCGAATTCATTTACTTTCAAAGCCAAGTATACACTGCCTGGTAAAATCGATGTCACGCATCCCTAAATGCTAGTCTTGTTCTGTTACGGCAAGAGGAATGCCAGTAAAAAATAGCACAGACCATCTCTGGAGAGTTCATTTCTATTTAAAGCAGCACCTGTAAGTTTATCCAAGTCCAGGTCATTCATCGTTCAACAAAGACTTCTCTTACCCTGAAAAAGGTCAGAGTGGTTCCAAAGATAAACTTAACAATGGAATTTAAGAGGTAAAAGGAGTTTGTGGGACTTGGGAGCAAATATTTCTCTGACTTTCCTTGTACAAATCCTAAGCCCTAGTTTGATCCAAAACCTCAAGACCACCTCAGGATCTCAAACTGTAGAACTGAGGGGGACCTACTAGGATTAGAGAGGCAAATCAAAACACTAAGTCTTTGTTAAGGTATGTTTGGCACTTTGAAACTCAATAGATACAAATAACAAAATGCCTTTTACTGTTAAGAGATATCATACAAACAATATACCTACAAAACGCTTTCCTGAAAAAGTCAAAGCATTTTTACCAAAACCTTGTAAATTTATATTGCTATTATTTTGGTACTTAGAACTTTTCTCACATTCTAAACTTCAGAGAATGAGGCAAATCAGAAAGGGTTTGGAAAAAATTAAATCAGTCTTCAGAGAATAGTATAGGTTCAAGACACGTTCAACCTAATTTCCCAGACCTGGTTCATTTATTTGTTCATTCAGCAAATATTTACTAAAAACCTGCTATGGACTGATACTGCTCTAGACAATACTCTCAGACAGAAGCTGTAGCAGGAAAAAATACCAATAACCTGCCCCCATGGAACTTATATTCTAGTGAGGAAGATAGACAATAAACAAATAAGCAAATATATAATATCAAGTCAAAGAAAAGTTCCATGAAGGAAAAAAGGCCCAGGAAAAAGAAAGATGGATAGTTATGATATGATCAAAGGAGGATTCTTTTGACAATTTGGCAGTTTCTTACAAAACTAAATATACCCATACTATAGAATCCAGCAATTACACTCCTTGGTGTTTATTCAAATGAGTTAAAAACTTATGTCTACACAAAACCCCGCACACAGATGTTTACAGAAGCTTTATTCATAATCGCCAAAACTTGGATGCAATCAGAATGTCCTTCCATAGGCAAATGGAAAAATAAACTGTGGTACACCCAGACATGAGCATATTATTCAGCACTAGAAAGAAATGAGCTATCAAGCCAGAAAAAGACATGTAGGAACCTTAAATGCCTATTATTAAGTAAAAGAAGCCAATCTGAAAGGGCTACTTATTACATGATTCCAACTATATAATTTACTGGAAAAGGCAAAACTATGGAGACAGTAAAAAGATCAGTGGTTGCCAGCGGCTGCAGGGAGGGACAGATGATCAGGCAGAAGGCAGGAATTTTCAAACAGTGAAAGTACTCTGTATGATATTCTACTGGTGGATACATGTCATTATATATTTGTCCAAACCCATAGAATGTACAACAACAAGAGTGAACCCTAAGGTAAACTATGGACTTTGGAAAATTATGTCAATGTAGGTTCATCAACTGTAACAAATGTGGGGACTTCCCTGGTGGTCCTGTGGTTAAGAATCCGCCTTCCAGTGCAGGGAACGTGGGTTTGATCCCTGGTCCAGAAACTAAGATTCCATATGCCGTGGGGCAACTAAGCCAGCGTGCCGCAACTATAAAGCCCACATGTGCACTCTGGAGTCCGCGCACCACAACTACAGAGCCCACGCGCTCTGGAGTCCGTGCACCACAACTAGAGAGCCCGCGCGCCACAACAAAGAGCCCACGCACCTCAACGAAAGATCCCATGTGCCGCAACTAAGATCCAACGCAGCCAAAAATAAATAAATAATTTTAAAATAAATTAAAAATTGTAACAAATGTACCACGTGGAAGAGGATGTTGATGGTGAGAGGTGTGTTTGGGGGAGGTGGGGGGATGCACATCTGGGATATGGGAAATCTCTGTACTTTGTGCTCAATTTTGCTGTGAACCTAAAAGTGATCTAAAAAATAAACCCTACAGGGAGGAAGAAAAAGAAGCTTTCTTTTGATAAAAAGGTTTCTTGAGGTGAAACTGGAGAGAAGTGAAAAAGCCACTGGAAAACCAAGGAAAGCTTGTTTAGGCAGAGTAAAGAGACTACACAAAAGCCCTGAGGTAGGAATCCTGACTGATAGGCCCTGAGGCAGGATTCATGACTGCATTTGAGAAAGAGCAAAGAGGCTACTATGACTGGAATGTAGCAAATGAATGAAGTGAATGAATGAATGAAGTAAATGTAGTGAAAGAAGTGAGAGAGCAAAGGAGGGAGGGAAGAGAGGGGAGAAGGGCAGAATATCAGGTCATCAGGGCCAGACATGGTAAGAATTTCAGATCATCAGGGCCAGACATGGTAAGAATTTCAAATATAATCACAAGTGTGATTGGAGGCTACTGGAGGGCTGAATGTAGGAAAATAACAGTTATCTGATTTACATTTAAAGAAATTCAAGGTTCAGATGACATTAAATATTATTCCTAGTGAAGCAAGTGAGAAAAAGCCATTTTGCTTCTTTCCAGTCTGACGTAAAGAGCCTGAAATCTAGGGATCACTCTAGTTTTCTGAACCACTGTTACATGACAAGGTGAAACACAAATCATAGGTATTTTGACAGTTATAGTTGCATTTATAGTATTCTAAGCAAATTTTACAAATGCCCCTTGCAAATAAGGAATACAGTCTAAACCTAAACACGTTTACTTTGCATGGCTACAGAGTAAAAGTGAATTCAGAGTAAGTCCAAGGCCTCACTTATGATAAAATATCATCACCACTACCCAAAAAAACTTCACACATGTCTAAGGGGGTAACAAAGGATTAGAGCTTACCTCACAGAACCTTCTGGAACATTTGGCACATACAGAGTAACAGGAAAGGGGTGCTGACTGGAAGATTTCATGGTTGCCATTGCCCGTAAAGCCTCCACTTCATTACGTGGGGAAGAAACCTTCATACATCCTAAGTAGGTCAGTTTGTTAAATAAAACACTATCTTCTTCAGGTATTCCACTTGGAGAAGATGGTCTGGGTGTAGAAATTTCTGAAGAAAAAAAAAAAAGAAACACTCAAAAGTTAATATAAAACTTCACAGTATAATTTCACCTATTGCCCCAAAACAAATGAAAAACTGCAAATAAAATTTAGGTCTCTCTGTGTTTTCATTTCTTTTAATGTTTATCCTACATCTTAACTTAGAGTTCTGGAACTGGCCATTTTGTACTTCAGATCTCTCAAAGTATTATCTTACTTAGCTATGACTTCTTTAGAGGAAAAGAAAAAACAATTCTAAGCTTTGTATTTTAAAAAATCAAAAATATGGAGTTCAAATGATATAAAACAATAAGGAGAAAAGACTACACTAAAGACAGTGTGAATTATCCTAAAACTAATAAGAATTAAACAAAACTAAAATCAGTTAAAAGTGTCTCTGGTAAAGATCCTGCATAGCACCAAATTTATTAATCAGCCTAAATTCCTCAGCAAAAGTCAACAATGTTAAAAGGTTCCATCTCATACTAATACCAATAAAGTCAAGCTCCTTATTTTTCTCCTTCCTAGCTTGCTGGCTTCTATAAAATACGTATTTCAATGAAAAATTTTTCCTCAAAATAATTATTTTGATGAATTATCCTATGATTGCTTCCCCCAATTCTTTAAAAAAAAAAAAAAAAAATCCACTCTAATTCTAAGCACAGCATGCATGTAGCAAAGTCCCAACTGTGGTTAAACAGTATTTATCTGCATATATCAGGTAGTATAAAGCTTCCCCTCTGCCACTCTCCCCATCCCCACCTAAAAACCCACATTCAGCTAATCTCCAACTCTTCCTGCTACCCACATCTACGCTGTACAAAATTAAGCAGCCTGTCTCACCCAAACTAGATCCTTGTGACATGCTCTAACTCTCATTACCAGGATTACACTTACAGGATATTAATAAGTAATTCACAAAAGCGATTCCCAACCTCCCCACTCCAGCTCCCAAATATTATACTAAATCATGCACCCTTCACCACTTTTTTTCTATTGAAAAACTAAAGCTATTCAAATGAAGTACTTCATCTACCATGTTCCTCAATCACTGAAACATGTTTTTTCCCCTTTTGAATCAGTTCAATGTATATATTTCAAAAGGGACATATAAAAAACTACAAATACATTGTAAGGCCGAATACAAACATGTTTAGAATATACATATATGCATTTTTGTTAATTTAGCAAGTACTTATGCAAAAACAATTATTTGCAAGATCATATGGTAAAACTGTGCTTTGGTGACTGATGAACACAGTAGATCAAGTAGTTCAAATTTTCTAACGTATGTGTAATTGGAATTCTACAAAAGAGAAAAAGGTGGGGAAAAAGCTTTCTGAAGAAATAAATGTTTTACAAAATCTGTGTAGCTCACAGATTCATGAAACTCTGTATACCCCAAATACGAAAACAATACATAAATGGATCCCAAAAAGACAGATGACAAAATTGTAGACAAGACCATTAAAGTAACTATTATAACTATAATAGAAGAATTAAAGAAAAACACCTAACAAAAGAAGGAGAAAAATGGAAGACAGAAAAAAGAACCAAAAGAAATTCTAGAGCTAAAAAATGCAAGATCTGAAATGAAATATTCCCTGGGTGGATATAACAACTAATTCTAATTTGCATAAGACAACAAGAATATTAAACAAGATCCTTGGGATAAAGGAAAATGATACTAGAGGGAAACTGAAGAGCACCAAAAGTTATAAATATGAGGGAACGACTTTTTCCTTGCCGTTTAATTTCTTTAAAATACAGCAGACTGCTGGTCATCCCCATTTGGAAATCTTATTAATCAGTATGTCGAAAACTGAATTCATTAGATGTACACTCAACTATTCATGCCTTGAATAACTCTTGAATCCATCCCACTTTTCTTTGGCCCCACAGTCATTACCCAAATTACTACAGCAGTAACCTCAAGTCTTTCTCTCCTCCAATTTATTCTCCACACTGCAGCCACCAAGATCTTCCATAAAGATGAAAGAAAGAGGGACTTTCATGGTGGCACAGTGGTTAAGAATCTGCCTGCCAATGCAGGGGACATGGGTTCAAACCCTGGTCTTGGAAGATCCCACATGCCGTGGAGCAACTAAGCCCGTGCACCACAACTACTGAGCCTGTGCTCTAGAGTCTGTGAGCCACAACTACTGAGCCTGTGCTCTAGAGTCTGTGAGCCACAACTACTGAGCCTGTGCTCTAGAGTCTGTGAGCCACAACTACTGAGCCTGTGCTCTAGAGTCTGTGAGCCACAACTACTGAGCCTGCATGCCACAACTACTGAACCCCGTGGGCCTAGAGCCAGTGCTCCACAACAAGAGAAGCCACCGCCATGAGAAGCCAGTGCACCACAACGAAGAGTAGACCCCACTCACTGCAACTAGAGAAAGCCTCCGTACAGCATCAAAGACCCAACACAGCCAAAAAATTAATTTATTTATTTATAAAAATAAATAACTAAATAAAATAAAATGCCAAAAAAAAAGATGAAAGAAGAGAGAGAGGGAGGGAGAGAGGGAGGGAGGGAGGGAGGAAATAAACAGATATACCACGCAAACACTAATTATAAGAAAACCAGAATGGCTATATTAATATCAGAAAAATCAGACTTCAAAACAACAAATAGTAACAGGAGAAAAAGAGACAATTCACAATGATAAAAGGGTCAATTTATAAGGAAAACATAATTTAAAAAGTGGCTATGCCCCTAATACCAGAGCTTCAAAATACTTGGAGCAAAAACTAGCAGAACTGAAGATCCTCAAACTGAACCAGTCAAATTGAAGTAACAAGTCTGCTATAACTTCTATGTATTAACTGAAAACACTGGGCAGAATATAAAAGTAACTACCTTAGGATTTTTTTGTTGTTGTTTTTATTTTATTTATTTATTTTATTTTATTTATTTTTGGCTGCATTGGGTCTTTGTTGCTGTGCGCAGGTTTTCTCTAGCTGTGGCGAGCAGACTACTCTTCGTTGTGGTGCACTGGCTTCTCATGGCGGTGGCTTCTCTTGCTGTGGAGCACAGGTTCTAGGCGTGTGGGCTTCAGTAGTTGTGGCTCACGGGCTCTAGATCGCAGGCTCGGTAGTTGTGGTGCACGGGCTTAGTCGCTCCGTGGCATGTGGGATCTTCCAGGACCAGGGCTCGAACCCGTGTCCCCTGCATTGGCAGGCAGATTCTTAACCACTGCGCCACCAGGGAAGCCCAGGACTGTTTTTTTGTTTTTTTTTTTTTTAAAGCAAGTAACAACAGACAGATTGGAGAGAGGTCAAAACTTGAGGAACTACCAGTATAGTACTGAATTCCCTTTTACATTTTTTCATCCTTTATATCCCATATTTGACCTAAGGGCAGCCCAAGTTGCAGAACTGTGCAGTGAGCAACAAAACTGTGAGAGAAATCCAATTTTTCTGGCCAAAGGACAGAAAAAAAGAGTCCCTGTAAACCAGAGACCATTTGGGGAATTATAACTTTTTTTTTTTCCTCTCTCTTTTTTCTCTCCCAGTTCTACCACAAAGCCAGCCCCAGTGTTGGAGCTGCACCACTATGTGGGAAGTGGGGCTGGGGGGAAAGGATGGAGTGCTTGTAGCATATGCAACTCGAGGAAAAGGAACCTCTCAGTGGTTAGAACACCCAAACAAAGGGGCTTGGCTCTTGCGGTTCAAAAAGGAAAAGGAAACCTCTGTTATTTTTTTTCTTTCTTTTCTCTCAACACTCTGTCCTGAAGTGAGAAACCTGTCTTTCTACGCAAGAGAAGGAAAATGGGCCCCAAGAAGCCAGAGAGTATGGGGGAAATCCTGAGGAGGAGAGTTGGAGAAGGTAATCCCCTAATTTTGTGTATGAACTAACACAAGTCTTGGGTTCACCACCATGCTATACATGTGTGGAACAGACCAAAGAAGCATAGCAAAGGTTTTGGAATTGATTGACTTTGGAACCAGAAAGCAAGAGAGAACTTGCAGTCTGCATGTAACCAAGTGGACTGCCTGCTAAAATAAAACAAAATCAACATTCTTCAGAGGATTTTACCTGGAAACAGAATCTCAAAATGTAAGTTTTAGAAAGCCTGGAAAACAATTCAGTTACTCAACTAACAAAAAAAACAAAAACAAAAATAGAAGAAGGTGACCAATTGTCAAGGGAAAAGCAATCAACAGATACCAATCCCAAAATGATGCAGTTGCTGGAATTATCAAACACTTTAAAATTGGTATTATAACCATGCTCTATGACATAAAGGTGAACAAACCTGGAATGAGTAAAAATATTAAAATCCATGGCAGAGGAACAGAAAATGTAAAAAGGTGAATTTAAGACCAGAAAAATAGAATATCTAAAATTAAAAATTCACTGGATGGGCTCAAAAGAAAGGAGATAACAGAATAGTGAACCAGTAAACTGGAATACAGATCAACAGAAATTTTCTAAACTAAAGAAGTGAGAAAAGAAAAAGATTGGAAAACAATGAAAAGAGCCTCAGGAATTGCAGGACAATATGAAAATATCTAATAGTTTTGTTGTCTGAGTCACGGGAAACGAAAAAGACTATGCACAGAAAAATTTTCTAAAAAATGTCTGAGGGCTTCCCTGGTGGCGCAGTGGTTGAGAGTCCGCCTGCCGATGCAGGGGACACGGGTTTATACCCCAGTCTGGGAAGATCTCACATGCCGCGGAGCGGCTGGGCCCGTGAGCCATGGCCACTGAGCCTGCGCGTCCGGAGCCTGTGCTCCGCAACGGGAGAGGCCACAACAGTGAGAGGCCCGCGTACCGCAAAAAAAAAAAAAAAAAAAAAAATGTCTGAAAACTTCCTAAATTTCATAAAAGATATAAATTTACAGATTCAAGAATCTCAGTGAACACCAACAAAGATAAATTCAAAGAAAACCACACCCATATAATCAAACTGCTGGAAAACAAAAATATTGAAAAAAATATTGAAAGTAGACAAACAGCATGTTACAAATAAGGGAACAAATAAGTGATTCAAATGACTGCAGATTTCTCATCAGAAATGATAGAGAAGAGAAGACAGCAGGACAACATCTTTAGAGTATTCAAAGAACATTGCTCCATAGAAATCCAGGGGTTAGGTATATCAATGGAGGTAAAGGGCCTACACCCTGCCCCATGCCCTTTTTTTTGTTTTGTTTTGTTTTGGCCGAGGCACACACTATGCAGGATCTTGGTTCCCTGACCAGGGATCAAACCATGCCCCCTGCAGTGGAAGCACAGAGTCTTAACCACTGGACCACCAGGGAAGTCCCCCCATGTTCATTTAAAGTTATATGCTATAATTACTGGGCTTTGACCTAAAACTGTATGTGATTTTATTCTGAGGTTCAAGATTTCCAAAACTATTGATGATGACAAACATTTTATTTGGTACTTACTTTGTGCCAGGCATTTTACAAAATACTTTATATGGATGGTATCATTTAAACTTCTAAATCCCTATGAAACGGGTTCTATTTTATCTCTATTTTACAGATGAGATAACTGATCATTAGAGAAGTTGAATAACTTGTCCAAGCCGCAGGCAGAGCCTGGATTCAAATCTAGGCCTGAACTCCAGATATCATGTCTTAGCCTCTATGAAAGGTCTAAAATAGAATGAATTAAAATCAAAATGAAGTTTATTCTGCCATTATAGAGTACCAGCTCTTCAAGGGAAGGAACTGTTCTATCCTCTTTTTATTCCCAGCACTTATAACAAGTGTCTAAAAGATTAGGCACTCAATATATGCCAAATGAATTAATCAGTAAATAAATGAAATTTTTTAGAGCTAGTGGTCCTTTTAGCGACCAATTAATGGCAAACACACATCATCTCTGGGTACCACTTAGATCCTATCTCATCCACAACTAAATGTATCATAACTGCACCTTTCATGTAGACAAAACTCATGACTAGTGGAAATCTGAAGTTAAGCAGGCAAATAGCAAAATATTTTATCAAGGCAACACTTTTAGATCTCATTAAATCACACATCGATGTAAGAAATTCATATCCTCCTAAATATAAATTCAGTCCTATTCCAGTCATACTTTTGAATTCCATCATCCCTTCCTTAGCAGAAAGATGCAAAGAATAACAAAGAGCATGAGAGAGAAGACTCATTTATATATCCACACAGTATTTTAGTACATTACAGTAAATTAGTAGATTCCCTGTAGAGGTGAATCCAAGTAGCCAGGACATACGATCACCAAATGACAAAAACCAACAAGTTATCATGATGTTTAAACAAAAGCCCTTATCTATCTAAATTTATCACTGGCAAATTACATATCTTTAATATTCACTTTAGCCCATTTAAATCTAGATACTTTCCAGACAGTCCCTTACCTTTGAAGTTACGTGTCATTTTAATAGACCACAACAATTCTGTTAACAAAACTGCAACTATGAAGAGGCAGCTGAAATGTCTTCTCATAGTTCTTTCAGGCTGCTATATAACAAAATATTTCTCACAGCTCTGGATGCTAGGAAGTCCAAGACTGAGGCTCTAGCAGATTTGGTGCCTCATGAGAGCTCACTTTCTAGACAGCATCTTTTCACTGTGTCCTCACACTGCAGAAGGCACAAGCTAGCTCTCTGGAGCCTGTTTTAGAAGGACATAATCCCAATTATGAGGGCTTTGCCCTCATGACCTAATAACCTCCCAAAGGCCCGACGTCCTAATACCATCACTAGGATTTCAATATATTAATTTTGGGGAGAACACAAAACATATGTCTTTTCACTGAAAATGAAAAGAAACAATATATAACAAGAAAAGAATGCTTTTTAAAAACTTACTTGTAAAGCAAAGTGGAAATTCTTATCCACTGAGATCTTCAGGGAAAGATACATTTTTTTTTAATGTATTTAATACAATGGGTGTTGAAAACACAAAAGTACATTATACATGGTCCCTATCAAATATGCTCAGAAATAAGAATATTATCTAGGCCATTGCAAAGGACAACTGATTCCAATAACCCATCAGAGCTATCAATACATGAGAAGATGAAGGTATTTCTTCCTTTTGATTCATCTATTAACCAAAAAAATAACTACAGGAATGTTGATGTCAGTATGCTTTGGGTTTGGGGGGAAGGCTAGGGATTTAAGAAATCCAAAAGATAAAAGCACAATGAAAAATATAATCTCTCATGTTCCCTCAATCAATAACTAAAAAAATTAATATTTTGTAAGGCTTATTTCCAATCTTGTGTACACACACACACACACACACACACACACACATAAAGTCCCCTTGAACTTAAATCTAGCCATGAATATGAATATACACTGAAACCTATGAGTCTTTATAATGAATAATTAAACTAGGGGCACTTTTAGGGACCCCCAACACATGGCAAATATCTTCTCTGAGACTCATTTAGCCGTATTTATTATGGTACTTTTCTCATTCAGATTTAAGCTTTTATGTATTAAAATGCAAGTAGCTTTTCCTTTATGATTTGGCTTTTCCTACCCTGACAATCACAAAAATATTCTCATTATTTTCTTCTTAAAGGTTCATTTTTCCCATTTAAATATTTGATTCACTAGGAATAAATTTGGGGTACAGTGTAAGGTAGGGCCACCGTGTTTCCACTGTGTAGCACTTTGGCCTATATCTACACTTACCCTACACGAACATTCAGAAATGGATCATGAGTGCCTTAAATCAATCAGGATGATCTCATCTCCTCTGTCAGAATGACTTACTGAGGTGTCTGAATATAACCAAGGCCTACACCTATCGGCTCATATCATTCCCCTGACTACTAGAAAATGATTCAGTTGGTCCAATCAGAGTAAAACTCACAACTTTTGTTCAATAGGTAAAAGATCAGAGCCTTTCTCTCGGTCACCAGACATGAACAAATCACCTAGCCTTACTTATCAATTTCTGCAGCTACCTACTTTGTGACCACAAAGGAAGCCAGTTAAGGAGAAAGATGACATGGAGAAGATCAAAGCTGAGTAGTTTACAAAGAAATACTACCAGAGCCCAGATCAAACCACACCTCCAGTGTTTAAACCAGGTGAAGTAGGAGTTGGGTTTGGTTTGGTTTGGCTTTTCCTTCATCCAAAACCATTTTGACTTACAAGCTGGTATTCCTACTATAAATCCTACTCATTCATGCACGTACATATTATTTATTACATTGTAATAAATACTTTTACAGTATTATTACACTGATGGAGTTGATATGTTATTTTACTTAGAATTTTCACAAATTGTAATTTGAAATAACTGTAGTCAAACTGAGTAAGAAGTCACATTATATGAAAGAATGTGTCCATTACACTGTTCTTTGATACCCAAGAATTTATTCATTTGTTCAATAAGTATTTATTGAGGGTCTACAATATGCCAAGTACTAGGGGTAAAAATGAATGCCCAGACATAGAGCCAATTCTCAAAGAACACTGAGACTGATTTTACAGGTGGAGATACAAACAGAAACATAAGAACCAAAGTGGGAACTGAAAAGCTGCTGGCCTTGATCTTAGAAAATGAAGCTAATAAAATTTTCTAATATTCATCTTAAAATTTTCATTACCACTTTATCCCATTTCTTTTATAGTTTCTAAGAGTTCAATACAGTACCTGTATTCGACGGATCCAAAATTAATTGAAGAGACGGCTTATTTATTTGGCTGGCCGAAACATCTCCAAATGAATGGTCTGAAATCTCACTGGAACTCGGACAATCAACAAGAAGGCTTCTTTGCCCTTTCTCAGAATCTCTCAAAATCTCTTCCATGGCTTTTTCCAGTTGTTCATCACCATTAGAAACTATCTACAGACAAAGCAAGACAATTCATTTCAATCATAACATGGTTCTGGAACATAATGAAAATATTTCATTTCTAGAAGAAATTTAAACAATAAAAAAATCTATTTAAATTTAAATATAGTTACTGAATACCAAGAATTTATACAACTGTACCTAATTTCATTAGATATATACAAAATCCTGAGTTATAAACTCAACTAAATTAGAGGATTATTAGTATCAGAAAAGGATTCTTCAGAAACATACCAGGCAGTTTCCAACTATATCTGATCTAAGATCTTATTTACAGATATTTTCTTTTCTTATTTTTTTCTTTTTCTCTTTTAGAAACGTATTCTAAAAACTGGGTAATCCTAAATTTATGGGTTTTTTTTAATTTATGTGTTTTAAAGAGGAAAATGGATACATTTAAATAGATAATATGTGGCACTGATATCATTTAAAAGGTCATTTTTTTTGTTATCATAGCATAAACATATTTCTGACTCCTTTACAAATTTTGCTTGAGCTGTCAAGGAGTATTGCTAATTTCCTTACACTTAAGTTGACTCATCTTCTTCTTAAAAGCAAGTGAGACACAAAGCCTAAGTAAATAAATGCCTTAAACACATTTATATGAAAATACAGAGTTAAATGAATTTAAATAGCTGTTTATTTAAATACAGATATTTGAATAAATTTAAAGAAATCCATTGATTAATAAAATTATAAAAATATAATCCTCAACATAATGTAAAATGAGTACTGAATCATCTAATTTTTATAAAACTTTATTAGATTGACTTTATTAGATTAACATACTAACATACCTTTGATATAATTAATATTAAATAAAAGTCATAAATAATATACAGCATTCTTGGCTAATTTCTCTCTTCCTATTTCTAGAGGGTGGTTATGCAATTCCCATACATGTTTTTCTGGTTTTTTTGGTTTTTTTTTTTTTTTTTTTTTCAAGTTAGGAAAGGCAACACAAAAAGAAAAAGGACCACATCCAAATAAAAACTCAACTGCTAAAATTATAAAACATATACTTCAAAAATATTCAGACAAGTGTTAAATCACATACTTGAATGTTACCAGCTGACTTAAAACATAAAAACCATAAAGAAAAGTGAAAATAATACATAACTACATACTTATATAATTATTTTTTTAAACCCAGCAGCAAGAGAGACAAAAATATCCACATAAATTAAATTTATGTAAGATTTAACCATTAAGTCTAACTTGCCAATTATCCTTTCTCTTCTTTTTTCCCTCCTATTCCTTCTTTCTGAATTCTAAAGTAAAAGATAAAAAACCGAAAGCAAAAACTTAAAAAATACACAAACCAAATAATTAGCATCTGGATAAATCAAACACTGATTCTAGTCTCGAGGTCAGTACTCAAGAAAAACCTTTGGATTTTATATATCTCCTGAGATAAGTTTCACCTAGTTAAGAATAATAATAATAATTTAAAATAATATCATTTGTAGAAAAGGGAAAAATACCTTCAGTTCAGGTTTTTCATCATCTTTTGTAGAAGTATCATCTGCATGCTGAGGAACCAAAACAAATTCTTCACTGTTCAGTGTAGTCACAGAATCCGATGACCCACTAATCTTCTGTAATGAAGCTCTGACCTCCATTTCAGTGCTGCAAACCTCTCTTCCCACATCCACCTGGTCAAAATCACAAGGAGTAAGAACAAAAATTAGTGAAGAAAAACATGAACTATTAAGTACCTGATCAATCTTTGGCCTTTAAAATTGGTTCATGCAAGGAAGAATTCTGCTGGCTAGATAATTATCTCAAAACGAGGGAGGCTATCTTCTTGGGCTGGGCCACAAAATGGAAATGTACCCTGAGTTTCCACGCGAAAAGAACCATATTGTTCCCTGAAAAACAACACAAACCTGACCGTATCTCAACTAAAAGGATTTACTACTATTTGGCACTCTACATATTTCTCCTAGAAATACTTTTTGTTCTTTTTAATAAATAGAAAACTAAATAATAAATAAATAAGCTAGAAGTATCTACAAATTCATACACAAACAAAAATACATTCACTGAAATTACTTTATAACTAAACCTAAATGTCTGCAAAAACTTATCTCCTCAAGACTAGGTATTGTACCTTAAAATATTTTTTCTGTGTCACTTACATTGACTGATTAACATAGAATTCAACACCCTAAGCCATGTATCTTTTCTTTTCCAGACATGTAGCCACTTATCTACAGGAGGCAAAAAAAGCAGGGGAGGTGATGGGAGCAAAGCTTTCACATTGCATTCATGCAGCAGTAATCAAATACAGTGTGATTCTGTTTTCTGGATAGATCTCTACTTTACACCATAGAAACTCAACATTCTCTATCACTTCCAGAAATTCAAATATTCACACAACTAATTTTAACTGAACATGTACACTACAGAACAGTCAGTATACTCACAACTGCGGTTACATGAGCAAATAAGGCAAACAAGTTGCCTCCTCTCGTGGAGCTTACGTCTAGTGAGGAAACAAGCAAGTAAGGTAATCCCAAATCATTCTCAGGCTATGAAGAAGATACAACAGCCTAATGTAACAAAGAGTAGCTGTAAGGAATACACGGACAACTTTAAGTAAGGTGGTAGGAAAGGACTCTCTGAAAGGGAAATATTTGAGCTGAAACCTGGAAGATAAAAAAGAACTGTATATTAACCAATCTGCTCAGTGACCAAAGGGGTAATGTGACAGAGAGGTAGGACAAGTAGACCAGTGCTAAAGAACGCAGGACTTGTAACCATGGTAAGTCTGCTCCATGCCAAAAATTCCCCCAGAAATGTTCTTTTTCTCTTTCTAATTAGGTTATTTTGTTCACTGCCTCATATAAATATGGCTGCAATATCTCATTTTGCCATTAGGTGACACTAACACCATTACTCTCAGAAAAAAAATAATAATAACTTCCCCCTTCAAGTTACACTTTAAAAAATTACCTCCTAACGTTATCAAAAATCAAAGTTTCTAATAATATCAAAACAAAGAATAATTACTGCAAACTCCAAGGCCGGTGTAATTAGCTAGCCTTCATTTATTTGTTAGGCATATAAACATCCTTCCTTTTTAAAACCCTTCAAGCACATTCATCTGTCCTCTAAAGGTTTTTCTCATTTTGCATATTATATGTTTCTGAAAATGCAGTATGTGTTAGAAGTCATGTTTTTACCCTTCAGGCTGCCCCATGAATCCTTGATTGCCAAGACATCACACATTCCAGGTGTTCTTTCTGTGGCCTATCCTTCTCCAAATCTTTTTCAGTTGCCACTCCTCTACTTGACCTCTAAATGTTGGAAATTCCCCAAGTTCAGGTCCCGAGCTTTTTTTTCTGATTCATTGCCACACACTCTAAGTAATATCTCTCACTGCCATGGATTTAAATAGCATCTATATGCTGAAAGTCTCCCAAATTTCTATCCTAACCCAAATGTCTCCTCTAAACTCCTGATTTGGAATCCAACTCTTTATTTGATATTTCCATGTGGAATTCTTATCAGTATCTTAAAATGTGACCCACATGGAATTCCTAATGTCCCAGCCAAAGCTGTGCCTTATTCAGATTTCCCATTTCAGTAAAGAACACCACCTTCCACCAAGTTGCTCAAACAAAAAATCTGGTTATCATCCTTGATGCATCTCTACTTCTTCATTCCTCTCATTACCAAGTCATGTCAGCCCCACTTCCAAAATAAATCCCACATCTATCCCCATCTTTCTCCACATCCATTTTACCAACCTAATCCAAGCTATGATCTCATCTACTATAAAAGTCTCCTAACCCATCTCCTACCTCCAGTCTTCTCCCTAATCTACTCTTCACAGAACAGCCAAAGAAATCTTTTGGAAAGTAAGTTGGATTACATTAAAACTCCAGACTGGGCTTCCCTGGTGGCACAGTGGTTGAGAGTCCGCCTGCCGATGCAGGGGACACGGGTTCGCGCCCCGGCCCGGGAAGATCCCACATGCCGCGGAGCGCCTGGGCCTATGAGCCATGGCCGCTGAGCCTGCGCTCCGGAGCCTGTGCTCCGCAACGGGAGAGGCCACAACAGTGAGGCCCGCGTACCCGCAAAAAAAAAAAAAAAAAAAAAAAAAAAAAAAAAAACTCCAGACTAAGATCTTTTCATTAAAATTCAAATAAAATCCAAACTCCTTGCCAGGACTTAAAGGCCTGACACACCCTTGCCTCTGTCACTTTATCATTAGGGCTCTTTAGTCATAGAAAGTTTTTTCCCACTTCAGGGTCTTAGCTCTTATCTCCTACCTTCATACGGCTGACTCCTACAGGTATCAGCTTTGTTTCGTCCACTCAACAAATATTTAATGAGTCCCTACTATGTGATAGAAACTGTAATGGAAACTGGAGACTAAATGATTAGTGAGATGAACGAAGGCCCAGTCTTCTTAGAACTAACATTCTTATGGATGTGATAAATAATACAGAAGAAAATTAACTAGGATCACATACTGGAATAAGTACTGGAAAAGATGATGAGAAGGGGCAGGGAGCAATGTGGATTCAGCTGACATTTGGATTTAATAAGAATAAGCAGACCATGGAAAGAACTAGGGAGAAAGAACTTCAAGTAGAAAAAATAGCAAATACAAAAGCCATGATGTAAGAAAAGGCTTACTGAGGAACAGAAAGGAGGCCACAATAGCTACATAATAATGAGTATGGGGGTAAGAATACAGTTGTCCTTCAGTATCCATGGAGAACTGGTTCTAGGAACCACCACAGACACCAAAATCCACAGATGCTCAAGTACCATAGCTGGCCCTCTATATCCTTGATTCCTCATCTGTGGCTTCAACCAACCACAGATTGTGTAGTATTATAGTATTTATTGAAAAAAATCTGTGTATAAGCAGACCCAGACAGTTCAAACCCATGTTGTTCAAAGGTCAACTATAGTTAGTATGAGATGAAATATAGACAGGAAAGGCAGAGAAGCCTGAGGCCACCCCTGATGTTAAGGCTATCTAAATATACTCCCCCCGCAATCCCAACTCTGTTTTGTTCACCAGGGAATATTCCATTCCTACTTTAGTGTCTAGTACATAGTAGATATTTAATAAATTGTTGAAAAAAATGTTAAAAGCCCCAATCAGGCTACAGTTCTCACAACTACCAAATGTGGAGCCAGTATTCGAACTAGGTAGTCTGACTTCAGAGTACATGCTCCAAAGCACTACATTATACTGTCTCTTAAAGTCTCCTCATCTGTTCTTGAGATCCAGGGTTGGTATCAATAGAACATCACTATGCGTACTGAACTTTCCCCACACCTCTCCTCCTTCAAAACTTACCTGTCTCCCTTTCGGCCTCGGCGCACGACTCGGGACCGAGGCCCCCGGCACCTTCTGTACCTGTGACCCCGACGCCCAAGGGATCCAGGCCACAGGGAGCTTCAAGCTCCTTTTGCAATGAAAAAAGAAAACAACAAACAAAGAAACAAAACTTCGAGAATGAAACTGACCCAGGACGGAGGCGCAGAGCCCGGGACGGTGTCCGTGTTCTAGGCGCACGCGAGGCCCCCGCCCGCCCGGTGGCTCGGACGACCCCGGAACGGCCAGTTTAGGAGGCGGGTTAAGATCACGCGCCTGAAACACTTTTAAGCTTCAGAGCGGAGCAGTGTTAATTCCGGTGTTAGCAAGAAACGGAGGGAATTTCGCCCACACAGACACTCCCCTGCCACAAGTTCCTTACAGTTGCCACTTCTCCCGGCGGTTGGGCTCTTTAAAAGGCTCAGTCCAGTTCAAGATGCTGGCAAACAGGGCTGGTGCTGGAAAGCTTTTCGAGGAGATAAGGTGTATTTGAACATGTGACCATTGATATATAGAGTAGAGGTTTTCGCTTACTGTCCCTTTCATGGTGGCAGCAGGGGAGGACTTTTGAAAAGGTACCAAATATTTGCAAGAACATATATCTGCCCCATAGAGAATTTCTGTAGAATTCAACTCCATTTAAACTATTTAAAATCATTTTTCTGCCAACCAGCCCCAGCCTGCAGCTCAACATAGTAACTAGACTATTCTATCAATACAGCTATCTTAAGAAAACTGTCAGCTGCTTGAATTTACAAAAGTTAGTTCTAAATCCCATACTTTTGACTACTGTAAACATTGTATGTTTCAAAGTATCCTTTTAAAAACTTGTTTTTTTGTGCTTACAGTTTTTCCTATAATAGATTATTTTGATGATTAACTTTGACCCCTTTGACAGATCAGTGGATTCCTAAGGATCAGGGAGGAGTTTGTTGCACAGGGTTTGGTCCGGGGTGGGTGTTGAAGGACTGCTCTACACTTTGATTATGGTGCTGATTGCCTTTGTCAAATTTTGGAGTGAGTTTTCCTGAATGTAAATTCAACTTCAATAAACATGGCTTTAAAAACTTTAAAAAAAAAAACAAAACTTATCTGTCTCTTCCACCAAAACATTCTTCTTAGATAAGTGATATTTACACTAATAGTTAATTCTGAATTAGCATGTAAATTAATACTAATGGTTGCTCAATTCAAATAAGATGTCCATTTATAATAGAGGTTTTCTTTAGCCCAAGAGAATGTCAGATATTCTGCCATGCTAACAAGAAAACTATTAGTTTACAATATGTAATTTTGTGACCTCTCCA